TGGGATCCAGGCACTTAGCTGAATATTCTGTGTCTTTAGTATTGTGGACAGCTTTCTTGCACTTACTGTGTTTAACACTGAGTGACCATCATAAAATAATATTATAAATTCTGTGTGCTAATTGCAATTTTCTCCTCACAAACCCTGACTTACAACAACCTTTTTCATGTGTTGGGAATTGTTCTTCCTTATATTTTCTCTTACAGGGCTTCTGTAGAATAATATCATTTTTTCTAAGTTTGTTAGAATCTACTGGAATTATTTCATGCTGAAATATTTGATAGAATATTTTTGTGAGGCAATCTGAACTTTAGTGAGGTCATCTGACTGAACTAATACTTGTCTTTAAACTCATTTAGATTTAACTGATTATATATGAGTATAACTCTTGCTTCATTGTTTAATCTTTACTTTTCTGCATTTTTTTAACTTTCCCCTTTTTACCTTTAATTTAGCTGTTACTGACCTTTCAGTTCCATTATGCTCATTACTTTGTCATACATTCCCCTTTTTGCTAATCTCTTAGTAATTATCCCCTAGAGATGAGCACGTAATTTTGGCTTGTCAGTGATCAAGATGGATTAGTATTTTCACTACATAGTAAAATACTCTATGCTAAATTTGAACTTTGGCACCCCCAAATCTGTGAGTTGAAGGCTGGATCCCAAAGTGTAGTTATCACTTTAAGAGTGGGAGCCTCAGGGAAACCACTGGTTCAGGGGCGGGGCACACTCTTAGAACTGTGGAAAGTCCACAGTCCTCCCCTTTTGTCCGGGTCAGGAGGTAGAGGGCTCTGCCACCATGAGTTCTCAGCACATCATTGATTCAAAGGAAATTCATGGAGCCAATCAGTTGTAGGCTGGAACTTCCAAAACTGTGAGACAATATAAATATTTTCTTTATATACACTGATTATGTTCAGTGTTTCCTTCTCATGATGGAAAGCTAATGTATTCATTAACTTTAGAATATTTCCATCCTTTTAAATTCCATCCAGCTTTTGTGCACTTTCATTGTGTGTATTTAAAGCTGTGTATATTAAGGTCTCACAGGATATTTCTTTTATGAATCCTAATTTTACCCACTATTTTTCATTGTTCTTCTCTCTTCATTTTACTCACCAATTCAAAGAAATAGAAATTCTTTCCTCTATACCTGAAGAGCACACTTGTAATTGTTCTTTCCTTGTGTTTGGCAGTGATAAATTAATGTGAATTTCATGTTTTGAGGAATGTTCAATTGTACATTACTCTGGGTTGGTACATTATTTCACTGCTTTAAAGCTACCCATCCAGATTTCAAAGGCTTTTATTTCTGATGATGTTACGTCTCCTTCTTTTTTTGTCTTAAGGTTTTGAAGATAATATCCTTTCTTTAGTGACATTGCATATTCAGTTTCTTTTATTTCTGCTAAAATATAGGAAGTAAATGTAGGAAGTTTCTTTGCACTTGTTCTGGTTGGAATTAAGGGTGATTGTTAAATTTGCAACTTGATAGTTTTCAGAAATGCAAAACAATGCTCATCAATTTCCACCCAAAGGGTACATCTGGCCTATTACAATTCTACTTCTTTGACTTTATTTTTTATTTGACAATATAGCCAAGGATTTAGCTCAATTTCAGGATTTTTAAAATGTTGTTCTTATAATGCTATAATTTGTGTTAATGTATTTTCACTAATTTTACAATTCTATGACTTATTTCATGTGTGTATAAAATGAATTTAAAACAATTCACATATTAATCTATTTTTATATTTTGATTCTATAATTTACATATGAATCTTTAAATTTTTCTTATTCAAATTTTCTTGAAATTAGTTATGATAGTTTTTAAAAATCTGTGTCTAATCATGTTTTGATGTTTCCTTTCTGTTTTCTTTGCAATTTTCAGTAGGTCGTGTTTATATGAGAACCTGAGCAATACTGTGATGATCCGGATGATGTCTTCTTCCAAAGAGCATTTATAGCTCTGAGTTCTGTTGTGTTCATAAGTGTTGTGGCATTCACACTGCATGTGCTTGACAACTGCATGTTGCTAGAGGCTGCCCTAGGGGCGGCACAGGTTCAATTCCATCATCACAGAGAGCTGTAATGAATAGAGAGAAAACTTAAGCCAACATTATGCAAGTCACTGTAGTAGAGCTTCCATATATTATTTATTAAATTTCCCAACAACATTGCAGAATACACATTAGCACTATTTTCTGAAAAGGAAAAAAAATTCTTAATAGCTTACTAGGGGACACAAGTATTCAAGTATTTCAAACATATAATTTAAAGACAGGGCAATCTCTCATTAGAATATGTTTGCTACTGGGCTATTCTCTTTACTGATTGTATTTTTGACTCCTATCAGGAATAAGGATTCATTTTTTCTGCTTTTAAAAAGTTTGTGTTTATTTTTTCCCATATACGCATGTTTTATGACTATAAAATCTATAAACTGAGAGGCTCAACACTCTTTTATCCTCTGGTTGTTACCAATAAATTTCCATATG